ATTTTTGAAAGTGAACTGCGGTGAAACTGGGAAACCTGAAGAACAAAGCGGAATTTACACTGCTTCTTTCCACAACCGCTTCACTACCTGATTTCTAAATGTCTGAAAATACCAGCAGTTAGGCACAGCAATTTTATTGCCCCTCAGGGTTGGAGAATGCATTTGATTTTCAGACCAGTCTTTAACCAGGGACTCTTGGCGCAAATTACAGCTTAAGTAAGACAAATTGCACTCTCTTTGCTGGAGAAGTTTCCGAAGCGGGAGTACTCAATTTGTGTGGATTCCTAGGTAAAAAACTGCATCTCTTTATTCATGCTCTGTCAACAGATGGAAACTACCATATAATGAGTTTGAAATTTTTGTTGAAAATGATATACCAACAGGATGAGCCACTAGTCCTGGTAATTTTTGCCGAAACAGAATCATGAGGAATTACGTCGGAGCTGAGTTAAACATGTCAAAACGCAGTAACAGAATAGGTTGGCTGCATTCGTTTCATTATAAGCCTTGTGTTTCCCAGCAACATCCCGCCAAAAACCAAGTGGCCGATCTTTATACCTGTAGAACACTCTTGAAATGTACAACATCCTAATATTTCTCATTAATGTAGAGGAGATCAGTGAAACAAATTACTGCGTGGGTTATTCCGAAGAACTTCTACATAAATCCTAACTTTTTAAATTAATGCAACATGTTTGAACATGGTGGATGATACTAATTTTGAAAATGTCAGAATTTCCTAGTCCATGACACCATTTCCCAGGATTTCTTTATATAGAAGACGACCAAGAGCATAGGCGGTATTATTGAAATCAGCTTTGTATGAATAGACGTATCTATACGAATCCTGTCTCTATCGTCCCATTCAGTTTCGCAAATTTACTGTTTCTGCGTTTCTTGAGTTCCATTCGACCTTGTTAGAACACGTCCCTCTTACGATAGGCTGAGTAAACACAATTCGGGTTGGCCGAGCACAAGACTGTAAGCAAGGCTGAACACAACTCGGCTTTTGTACTTGATAGACTTGCGTCCGCAGTTGTGTGACTATTTGTCCACCAGGGTAGCAACTGAGCAGAGTGGACAGTGTTTGTTCAGCGTGTTTACAACAAGATGGCTCTGGGTCACCTAATGCATCGGAGGTGAGAATGTTACTGGTGAAAGAACGGGATGCTTTTTATGCTATTCTTGAACGGAAATGTGCTCATCATAATCGCTCTGAGCTCAGATAGATTGTTTCCATCAGGTCCTCCATGGGTATCATGATAAAGTTAGGGAAAAATGTCAGCGGTTGGCTTCCGAGATAATTAGAAAGACTGACAAACCCCATCTGATGAATTCGGCAACTTGTATCACGCAATTATGCGGTGGGACAAACAGTACTTTGCTCATCAATCGTCACACTCCACACAGGATGGCGTCGCATACCCAACAAGAAGGCTAAAATTGTGTTTACTGCTTGCATAATACACGAATGCTATTAGCAATATCAACTGAGGCTTTCTGCCATCTTCTCTTAGCAAACTGAGTTCACAAGTGTACGTGATCGGGAACCTTCACTACCGACAACTGATCAGCCATCTTTTCGGGAAATTAATTTTTTACCGTCCTTTTCATCTTGTAGGTCGATGAGTTGTTTAATATTAATATGCTGATAGGGGAGTTGAAGTGTGCTGCAAACTTGGTTGATTAGGTTTGTTGCAAGTTCCATGAATTGTCCCATGAACGGCTCATTTTTTGCAGTTCGAAGTTGCCAAGAAAATCTTCCTCACACTGTAGAAACTTGCAGTTAAGCCAAGTCACTACCTTACATTCGCCGAAGGGTGAGAACTTTTGTGTAAATACATCGGTATCGAATAACACCACTTACTGGTATCACGTTCGAATTTCCTTTAGTGCATGCGAACCGTGCAATACATCGTTTCTATTAGGAGTAGCCAACTCCCATTTTTATACTTCGCCTGAACAACCTCAGGTTTAATTTCCTGTTTCTAACCGCGTCCTTCCTGGGTTTAGCAAAACTAGAAGAACCTTAGGCAAGATGATTATAGGTCATTCCATTCGCTAAAAATTCCTGATCGTCAATCATGTTGACCATTTTCATACTTCTTCAGAAAGTTCCGAAAATGGTACAGCAAGGGCATATATTCATTCGTTTTAATCAACAATAGTCTAACGAAGTCCAGTCTGTCAGAAAATTCTGGCACTGTTCATTGCAAGAAGCCTCAATAAAGGTTATCTTGGGCACATTTGGCCTGTCTCCGGTGCTTTAGCTTCCCAAGAACCTTATGCCCGCAAGTTAGGATTAACGTTGTCGGATAAGCATGACTCACTAGGTGGGTCACGAGGGAGAGTAGACTGAATCAAACTCCACCGCTTCAGAGACGTCCATGCATAACAAATGCTCCTTTAAGGAGTGATATGAATAGAGTTCATCACACAGTCAGCCACCTGGCATTAGAGACATGTGCAGTCATTCGTGAATGGCCGGAGCGCCAATCAAGGAGTATGCGGTTGTTTTACGGCGCCTACACGTTTCCCATCTGGGCTTCTGCGTGTGTTCCAAGTGACTCACATTTCCGGGGTAGCTGGAAACTAGCCTGAGTGAATCTATTAATGGTTTATTTGATGGACATCAGAATGACCACCGGGAACAGTGCAGTTTGATGAGAGCATGTGACAGACTGATTGCGCTTTTCACGGGTTATCCTTGTCTGCCACATAGGCGCATAGACCAACAGTATGCTACGGTGGAACGACTAGGGGGTTTGGAATAATATGTTGCATTGAAGACTGTGACGCCAAGTTCGTAAGAGTAATTACAGTAACCGTCATGTGTGTACGATTTATCTGGTTCATCAACATGTAAGCATCTTGTTTGGCTTGCTGGACTGTGCCCACTTCAAATGTCCACTTGCGACACGACAACCGGGTGTGATTCGTTGTCTCTGTCTGGCTGGTACTTTTCCTCCCCTGTTAAACATGCGAAACCAATTAGTTGCATTCGTTGAAGAAATTAATTTCCGCATCGTGCTAGTGGAAGTGGAATATGAAGTTACAGGGTGTAGAAAATAGAGCAAAAGGTTATTTTGTGAACATCCCTTGCGAAAATGCCTCTGGGTGAGCAAGTACTATTCACCACCAAAGGAGCGTGATACAGGTAAAGAAATAGTTCATAGTGCACATGGCCACCTCCGAACTTCCGAAAAGTATCAGGTTGCCAACTTCAATGTTTTCCATGTTAAGAGCTTTGACGTAACACCGCTTTGTACTAACAGTCAACAAACGCTTATCATTTCTGTTCCATATGTCGTGCAAAGATAAATCTCTAGCATGTGGAACTACCCCGTCTGATATTAGTAATCGTGTTGAACTGTGGCCATTTAGCCTTTCAAAACGCATTCTATAGACGAACTTATGTTGTCACTAAGGATTCCCTAGCATCAATCATAGTGGCTAGTCTTTTCTTGCACCATGCTGAAACTAGAGCCTTCTGTGACTCCGTCCCTCTACCACGTACCTGGTTTAGAAATCGACATATTTACCGTCGCATCTATCGCATAATGGCGAGACTTTCCAAACAGCTTGAATGAATAATGTGGTAGTATGTAATTCACGATGGAAACTAAGAACGAGCGGAGGTTCGTTAGCTTCCTGGACTGAAAGTTATCAGTTAACTCTCACCATGGATTTCCGTGTGAATCCAGGGAAAGCCTACACATTCCGATATCTATTTGCATTGTGAGTCTTAACATCCACGCTACGTCAAATGCGGAGTTGCCGGAACTCTGGCTGACCGTGTCAGGAAACCATGCTCTGAAGAGTCCATACGAGTAGACGAACTGAAGCGACTCAGTAAGGTATTGCATCAAAATAAATCCCCCATGAGGCTGACTACCCAACAACTGAGGAACCAAAACCCCTATGGCCACCGTGGGAATGGCACTTCAGACGACACTCGAAAGACACTTGTGGATAATGATATTAAGACATTCCTCGGAAATGATAACACCTTAAAACGATATCCCTAGGGGCTAAGTACCCTATCGAACTGAAACATCGCCAAAAAAGTCACTACCACATTCCCAGAGCAAAATATCCTGCCAAGTACATAGGCCAGACAGCTAAGTCACTTCCTGTGCGACTCACAGAGCACAGACGACACGTGCATTATCCACCAAAAACCTAGTCGAGTTCAAAGGCCTTGAAAGTCACTCTGCCAGCATCCCGTCTATCTGGCTTGGATTGATCGCACACCTCAGTAGGCGTCCTAGCCAGATATCAGCAAGGGTCTCAACAACGAAGCTTAACATCTAACAAAACAACAAACAGAGTTATTTCCTAATCAAGACACATTCACGCGCACGCGCACACAGAGAACACACCGCACATACTTAAGACATGCACACGTTGGTCGCGCCTGACTGCCAACTGATCTCAGGAACACACCAATCGGATGTGCTATCGAACTAAAAATGACGGTGCATTTGAGTTGTATTTAACAGAGTGTAGAAATCCTGGAGAAGGGTTGCCCACGGCAAACGAAACATCGGATTATGACATTATATTACACTTCGCTTTTATAACTTTAGAAATTTATATTTTTCGCACCATACGGAGCTGGATTGGGCCGGGAACTCCAATAAAACGCCTATTTCAACCGAACTCTCACCAGTCTATTCAACATCAAAGCAGTAACCTACAAGTGAAAAAACTGGTATGCCTTCGTTCATGTGTTTGCCTAGAGAACGAAGTCTAACGCATGAAATTTTGTCTTGAAATACTGTAGCGTGAGTTGTACATGGGAAGGAACTTGGGGGGGGGGTTGAGCAGCCGCCTTTCTTTTCAGGCTTTAATCACTTTTCACAACCTTTCATCTTTTATCAGATTTTTCTAACAAAACTCTCCCTTCTACTTAAAACAACCGATTCACCGACAATGACCGAAAGGCTTAAAAAGGACCGCACAAAACAATGGACATTTGTTTCTTTTGACGGCTTTACATGAACTGGATACCTCTTAACCGAGTAGGAGATCGGGTTGGAAACAACCAAAGGGTTAGCCGGAAAAAGCAAGTGGGACTACGAGGACAACAGAAAGAGTCTCCAAAATTCAGCACTCTTCATTGGGGGATTCAGGAGCTAAAAGCAAATCGGAAGGAGGATCTGATTGGTGCAAAAGGCTTGATTCCCTACAGTTTCAAAAGCCAGCAGAGGTTTAATCCAAACATTTTCACACGCTCTACTACTTTGCCGACCAACTATGAGTCGATTGAGCCAAATACACCGGGATTCACCAACTGCAAGTTGTCCCTGATTCAGTTGGAGATGACTGGCATATCACCAAAGTCAACATTTGAGATAATCATACGCTGGAATCAAGAAAAGAATACACCGCGCGCTCAGATAACAAAACACTTCGGTTATGCAGTCTGGAGCCTTCCAGTTCGGGTATGCGCAGTTAGGCACAAGCATATGTACACATCAATAGTTTTTTTCCTCTCACCAACCCTCCGGCGTAAACAATGTCTGGCATGGACGTATCTTTATTCACGTGGTAGAAGTTTGCGTGCGCATGTTAAACCAAAGTTCTGTATGATCCTACTTCCTGACGAACGTCTTATGGTTCCATTCATAAATATTTGGAGAAATATCGTTTTCCAAAGAGATCACGTGAGATTTCGGATACAGTGACAGTAATTCAGCTTTTGTGCATCTGGTTGCGCGTACAAAATTTCTTGGCGATACCAATTTGTGCTTCTCTAGTATAAATAAGTGACTTTTGCCTAGTACGGGTTTTATACTCGCAAAAAGTGCCTGGCTAATTGGCATGCCATACAGGACACATCCACCAAGATCGGGGAAATTCCCTCACAGGTTGTGTTCTACACAGTAATATACCAAATGTGGCGCTCCGCTACCGCAAACACAAACAAGAACAGCCTGCACCAAACTTTATTCGGCAATTCAACAGGTGCTATAAAACGGAGGAGTGGTTCTGAACTGTGATAAGAACCATCATTAAGGTGCAGTTTAGGACACGTGCCACATGGGTTACTGTCAGCCGTTCATCAGTTTTATAAAATTGCGCTTACTCTAGATTCGGTATCTTTATCATGCCTTCAAGCTCAAGCCATGCGACCTGATTTAGAGTCACGAATCTTTTAATGAAAAGCTCATATGGGACTTGTAATGTTTTGAGAAATTTTAGAATCGAAATAATTGGTTCTGAAACACCTCAATGGCAACGCGCATTTTCAGTGCAGTCCCCGAACTGGACTCATTAATATGCGAAGTAATATAAATTTCCACAGTTTGCTGAGGTGAACAGTAGCACATACACAACTCTTTGATCGCATAATATGGGAAACTGTGACCCAGTTTAGGGGGTGTATTCACAAAATAAATCCCACCAATGCGGAAATACGGAAAAGCCAAGTGAAAACAAGCCTACCCCAGTCAGCGTGTTAAACAAAAGCTTGCTGAATGACGGTCTCGTGTTCCTCCCACGAAATACGGTTTCTGTCTAGTTCACTCATTCCGATCGCTTGTGCCAACTCTGTTCTCGGTTTTATTCATGCTGGATGACACAGTTGTTGTTACAATCGGACGTCTAAACAATAGTGGCTTGTTATTGTTGTATTGAGTGGACGGCGCGCACCCGATGGCGGGAACATATATGGGAACTGTTAAACCTGTCAGGATGCGGGGATGTATTCGAACTGTGTTAGACATAGTCAGACGTACGAGTAACGATGGGATTACAAATGCTGTCTGTTGGGCTATGACTGACGTATACACTCCCCAAATATCCAGATAGCCCACTCATCGGTACTGGAGTGGACTGGTGGGGTGCGTAGCCTCAAAAAGGTCATTCGGTGTTTGATTACCTTCTGAAAGACCGGAAAATATTCCGACCCAGCTTGCATGATGCGCATAGATACGTCATTTTCTTATTTGATGAAGCTGATCCAACCCATATAAACCTGGTCAACAGTCTGCAGGGTTTTTCCATCTGACCTTCGGAGACTCAAAAGCAGGCCTTTGAGTCCTGGATTCAGACTATCCGTTTTCTGATAATTCCTATGTAATCTTACTGGAAAAGTCTAAGGGCCTAAAACGCCAGCGACAAATTCTCAGTTGAGGAATTCGCAGTCGTCACTTATATCCTCACCCTCATATGCTCCACCGCAAGGATTTGACCAGTCAATTCAGAACATAAAAATCAAAGCGTTCCTTCAAATGCAGCCTGAGATGAGGTGCAAACTTTCGGAGGTGGTCACGGAACCCCGTAAAACTCGCCACTTTTTGGAACCCTCGAAGGAGAGAAAAATTGTCTGCCAATTGATAACATGTTTAAATTATTTTTGTTAAGATATTGTTGAGAAATCGCCATCTACAATGACAACAGACTGGAATATCATACTTTCCACACAAGAATAATTCAGCTTATTTAAATCACAGACAGGGGCGAGATGGCTTAAGTGGTTAGAGCGTTACTGACCGGACGGTCCGTGGTTCGAACCTACCCTCTTTTTTTCGACCTCCCCTGACCAGGCTTGAGCAACCCGGCAGTATCCCAGCCCTCACGCATCCTTTGGGTGGCATGGAAGCTAGGCACAAAAACGGCGTTACAGCTGAATAATCATTTCTTCTTATGTTAAAGCCCAGATAAGGCCTCTGAAATAAGTGAAGTACTTAGTTTCGCTAGGTTGATTTTTATGCTTACGACACTTCCGTGCTTTGTGTTTTCCCGCAATGTTTCAGCTTCTGACATATATCATTCCAACTACTGTAATGAGACTTTGTCTTCAGATGCGATATACACTATATGAATAAGATTCCAAAATAGCAATAATTTCGTATTGCAAACGTTAGGGTCGTATTCAGTAGTGCTGCTTGTAGTTGTCTAAAGATAAGGTGCTCGGTTTTGGAAATTGGACGTTCCATTTTGGAATGCCTGCCTTATTATTACTGAGGGCAGTTTCAGGCGACAGCGAATTGCTCTACCGTACTAATAAGTGGCCGACATTTTCCGTCACAGCCTACCGAAATTAATGAAAGTTTCGGCAGTTTTGTCGCCATCACGATAATTCCAACAATGACGCTAGTCACTGGCAAGTAAATTTTGTTTGGGTTGCGAGTAATTTTGAAGTCTGTATCCACGTCATTATCTATTAACTGATTCTCATATTGGACTGCTTATAAGAGCTCATCAGTAGTACATAAGATTGGCAGTGTAAGATGTGAACCCCAGGTGTCTGTTAGGCCATGCCAGCCACCATCGCAAAAGTACAAACTGGACGAATTTCTGTTAATATCACTCATTTGAGCGAGCTCATATTCTGGAGCAACACCAATAGCATAAGATTTAGCCTTGTATTTCGCAATATGCACTTTTTCAACCGTGCAGGGTTTTCAGCCACGTATACTTCTCTTAGATGGCCAGCGAGTCATGACGCTTTTATGTGCGAACAATTAATTCACAAGTTGGTATTTTTAGGGGGAAGCAGCTTCCCCCTTCGATATATTTTCTCAGAACTAAGGATACCAACCTCCCGTTTAAAGTCGCCAAAAATGCGGCAATAGATCCGGGACCCGCAGAATCCGAATGAAAAAGCTATCCTTATCAGAACTAGCTCCTTCGATTTATTGGCATCCCTTTTGGACAGACGGCGAGTTTTGTCCTGCAATAACCTATGCTTTTGCAGATATCTTTTGGCTCCAGGTCTTCCCGAAGTCCTTATGGTTTGTGAGAATTCCAAGGAAGATGTGGATATCGGACGTGGTGCAGCAGCAACCTTCACCAGTTATTAATTGCAATTGTGCAAACAAACGACCAAAGGCTGAGACAGCCACCTCTGGATATACTTGTGGCAATTTTCGAGACGTGGCCATCGTCCAGAAAACCAAACCGACTTAAAATAGATTGTTCTCCTATGGTAGCTTAAGTTATATTCTTTCAGGTCGGAGACCGATAGTGAAGTCAAAGGTGTGCATTTTGGGAATTGAGCCCGGTTCACTAGAGCGGAATTCCGAGCTGCTTTTGATGTCGCGGAAATCCGTTTATGTGCAGTACATCCGTTCCACCGGGAAAGTAACAGTTTTTCTAGTGTAGAACGCGTCTCCAGTGTAGCGAAAAATAGAAGCATCATTATCATTTTCCTCATTCCCATCTTCGTTATCATCATCACCAGGAGCAGGAGAAAAAGGAAAGTCCGCCCTGGCACCGACAACTAGCAGCAGTTGATTATATCCGTTAACGAAGTCAGGCCAGAAGAACATGTTGTGTGACAGCCCCAAACCACTCCATAGTGAAAACCCTCTATAAATGAAATTGTTCTAAAACTTGGTAGAGTGTCATTCTTGGGCCGACACATCAACTCAGACAATATCACACTTGCTGCCAACTAATCTTACTGTGAGCTGAAAAATTTCGGAAAACCTCCATCAGAAGGATTCAGGATGACACCCATGTAATAAGAAATTCATTCTAGTTGTCTGTTCTGAATAGAGAACACAATTATCTACTCAGCCCAGTGGTTTGGAGCGGTTCGTTTCTCCCAAATATAACCACATTAGTAATGCCGATACTGCCTGTCCGATCCGTCGCCGTTTGAGGAGGAAAGTCATCAAAACCAGAAGTTCGGTGAAGTGTGTAGCCACACATACATGTCTAAGGTCAGAACGGTTTTCTTGTTTTCACAAGAGTGGACGGTCAAATGAAATTCATCTGGCTCTCAAGAGGAGTTTCTATACAGTTTCCTTAGAATGTACAAGTCAGTCTCCAACATTTTGCATGTAGGATAAAGTTAGAGCCCCAACTCAATTGCACCCAAATAAATGACATCTTTAAACACAGAAAGTAGCCATTCCAGGAGAAATATTCACATACACTTAAAAATCAATGGAAAAAATAGATAAGTCGCAGACTTGCTCCATTTGTGTCATTTAAAAGACCTTCCTTCTCTGCTTTCTACTTTTCTGACGCTCCAATTTACATTTCACATGGTACATGGGCTGGAGCAGTGGATGACTTGGAAGACACGTGACGAAAAATCCCAGCTTCCGATCTCCAGAGAATAGTCTGAAATATTTCACACAAGTTTCATGACACTTTTATGGACCCGAAAACAATCGGCTCCCTGACTATTAGAACATAGCCTAACTGATTTGATTAAGTTATCATAAGATATATAGTGCCCCTCTTTTACAAGAGATGATGGCCGGAAGCAAGGATGATTGTGACATGGTTAGTTCCTCAAAAGTATAGCGTAACTTCATCTCTTCCCAAGCTACTTTGTCGAGATGGTCGTTGTGTATTTAAACGGCACCTGATCCCCTAGATTCCAAAGTACTTCTACTCAAAACGCACTTGAGATTTTACCTTGACTGGTAACAAGGCGTTGAAAACCCAGTTACCCAGCTAAGCAAACTGACTGACGCCCAGATAAGTTACTGCCACTCAGCCTGCGAATTCGGGTTCAAACAAAAGGAATACAGCGGAAAACTCACGGAGGTATTTGGAGCATTTAAAGTACTATAAGGTGCTGGTGTCATTTATCAGTTCCTCTAAGTTTAAGCATACTACCATACACACTTATGCCGCAGCGGCTGTCAAGAGATCAGTTTGAGAACAGATATAGTTCGACTGTCAAGAGTCAGATCAAAGCCTACCCGGACCTGTAAATTGACGATTTGAGACCTACACAGAGTGGAATTTTCCACCTCATTCTGACTATAGTTTGAGCTTCCCAACAAATTCACTGATTTCCCGAATCGCTTAAGAGTGGATTGCTTATGTTCCGGTATCTAAACCCACTGACACCCAAAATGCCCCGCGTCCACATGGGTGGCTCTCCACCGGGTGAATTCATCCAGCGCCGAATTTTTCGACGATGTGAAATCAAACTTAATGTTCGAAAATTCCCCTCGTTCTTGCCTTTAAATTAAATTGTTAGTCTTCCTCGACTTTTTGAGCCAATTTTCAACTCCATATATACCAGCTTTTTGCAATATTGCAAAAGCCCGCTGTTTTATGTTCACCGAGATTTTGACCGTTCTGTGGTGAACGAATTCCTTTCGTAGTTGCAATTACTTGCGAAACGTGTGTGCGTACCGGAGAGTAGTGCACAAGTGCTGTTCAATCAGCACCTCCAGCTGGCCGATTCCGGACTGAAAAACAACCGACTAAAATGAATGTTACCTTTTGTGATCTATACAGAGTTGCACAAGACGGATGACTCATTATTTCTATCCTTTCTTGCATGTCAGCACCTGGCTCTTTTGATCCAGTGCACAGGCAGGTGGTAATATTGGTACCATTTTTGGTCACAGAAGCGGCAATTCTGGGCGCTTGAAAAAAGCGCACTATGATCGATTCACCAAAGTGATCGGTCTACTCTTTCGTGTCTCATTTTAATCCAACGGCAACCCGTGTTTAATTTTGCCTAACTGCGTTGCAAAACTATTTTTTGTAGTTTTTCGGTGGGGAGCGACATGCATATGAAATCCAAATGGATTTGATTTTTTGTTTAACATGATAAAGGAACGAGCAGCCTCCTCTTGGGCTCCGTACCGCTTGAAATTCCCAGAAAAAGTAGGTCGGCTGTATATTTCGCTTCATTCTACAGGTGCAAATCAACAGAGGGATATAAGATCCATAACACCATGTTGCCAAACTGTATGATCTTTTTTCGTCCAAATGCACCTTCCTATAACAAGATGAAGTGAACTTTTTAAAATGTCTGTCTTAATCAATCTTTCCATTCAAGCGGACTGTGAGTACTGGTTAAGGACCAAAGTAACAAGAATGATCAATAAATTTGAAAATTCCTACTGGATATCCCGGCGAGCGAAGTTTTCGGAAGCGAAATGCCTGTACCCTGTGGGTGGTCGCAGCATTCAAACAACTGCAAAAGACACACTTTTTTGAACTCAAATATGTGTTATGAGCCAAGATCTTAATTTATTATTGACCGTATAGTACGGTGTTTATGTCTTAGTCCGCTTTCTAACAAAAAAGCAGTTGGGTTCAATAAGCATTAACAGTTGAAGCTGAACAGCCCAAAATAGTGACAACACCTTACCACGATCCAGTCATCTAGGAGTGAAGGCACACCCAAATTGGTCATTCCGGGTTGGAAAGTAAACGACGGTGAATCATCTACATTCAGGTGAGTTTTCTCCACCGAAGCAATGGTGAGAAGGCTGTTCTGAAAAGTGGTCTTGCTGCATTGTTCTTCGTCATTTGTGTCGACCACCAACAACGAGCATTCACCTCAGAGGACAGAAAATATTGAATGGCTTAGCGATGAGTGAGGGTCGTTGTTCTACCTAATCCGTCAGCAACATCACAGCCGAAGCAAATAATTTTTTGCGTTTAGCTCTAAAAAGCGGTTTTAGAACCCACCGATTTCAGTGTCCAGTGTCTTCGTTGCACAGAATTTACCCACTTATGTGAATGCCTTAGAGCCGAGCAGATTCTACAAATCCTGTAGTTTTCTATCTGAGGTTCGGCACAGGGCTTATTTTGGGCCATCTACCTTCAGTTTTATTGGGCCAGATGAATATTCGGTTTCGCCAAATGTTATACTTGAGTTCGACACTTCATCCTATCTCCCTTCCTGGAAATCTTCCACATAA